TATTATTGCCCTCGATTTACGGATGGGGAAATTGAGGCTCAGAGAGAGTATCTGGTCCATGGCCATATCAGTAGCAGAGGGCAAACACAGTTCTTGACCTCAAGTGTATGCTCTGAACTCAGATGTACATGACATCATTATGTATAGTCTAAAGGGTAGTGTCATTACCTTTCAAACTCAAATGCTAGAATAATCACAATCATAACTGTAGGGACCAGTGTTTTAAATAAACAGGATCTATATTTTCTGGCAGATGACCTCAGTGTCACAGGGAGACACTGGAAAAACAGAAATGAACTCCAAATCTCAGGGTTTCAGCTATCGGACTCTATCCTTTTCCGGACACTGGGTGGGCACCTTCCCCTGTGGACTTTTTTTTACAATACAGGCCCAGGGTGGGTTAGTGTGTGGACTGCACTCCTGCAAACCATCCTCCCATCCAACAGTGCAAGGGCAGTTACCTTACAGGAGTCATTTAGATGCTCACTTCTCAAGGTCCTTGCGGCGACGGCCATAGTAAGTGGTGCGTGCGCCGGTGGGCATGAAGTCATCCTTCAATACACCCCCACGTTTGCCTAGCTTGTCTGCTAGGTTTTTGGTCACACAGGTGGAGGTTTTGCATTCTCTCTTCTGGGTAGCGATGCTGATTAATAGGATGGAGAAAAAGAGAGGACTTGTCAGTGAGAGGTTGAGGGCCTGGGGGCAGGAGAGCCCACCCCATGGGACCATCGTGGTAAAATTATTGCTCTAAGAGGGGCCAATTAACCTTATGTCTTTCATATCAACACAATCATCACAGCAGAAAAATCATAGACCATTAGGGAAAATGGCATTATCACTTCCCATAGATATTTCCATCGGTGTCAGAAAACGCAAAGGTGGCTCTGGCGACTGGCCATGGGACACAAAGCTATAACAGTCCATCTTTCCTGTATAAATAAACTAAAAACCAATGAAGGTTTATAAGACTGGAAAGAATCATGGTGCCACATCCAACACCATTCTTAAGTACCTGGAGGTTACATCTCATTCATGGGAAACATGTACTTCTTAGGAAAAAGAAAATTACTATCTTACCTGGAAGAGGATGAGAGTTTGCATCATTAAGAACCAGAGGTTTTTATGTGCCGCTTAGCACATACCTGTTCTTGCTACTTGAGGTTGGTCACAAAGACCACCCACCATGCCCTGTGTCCAGCTAGCCTGGGTCTAAGGCTTCTTCTCAGACAGGTCCTTGAATTCATGAAACCTGGGGTTAGACCAGAGCAATAACCACCACCACTACAGCTCAGTGCTTTTTAGAAATACATCTTTATTCTTCCATGACAAGCAGATTCAGAAACAGCACTTTGAAGTTCTGTTGTGAAATCCTCAGGCACACTCAGGGCTAGCCTCTCCCTCCCTCATCTCTTCCTATGTGATTTTCTTCTAGCCTGTATATTTTGCTCTTTCCTCCTTCTGTATGAGATTCTAAATATCCACAAAAAGCCACTGGTATCATCCCAAGGAGCAACCAGAGAGGACCACATATAGTACCACATAGAAAGGAAGCAAAAAGGGACATTAGAAAGGAGAGCTAGGATTTAGTAGGCATCTTGGGGAATGTCAACATATGGGTTGCGGTCTCTCTCCAAGCCACCGGCCATGACCCCAATTGCAGTATGAAAGAATGTGTGAAACTTGTTGTGGTTCTACATGTATGTGCCAGGCACGTATGTACTCAGATTACTTCACTGCTTAGATTTGAAACTGTCCAGGCTACAGAGAAAAGACATGACAGATGGTGACATACCTCCATGGGCATTTACACACAAGTCTATACCAGTGAGGAGTTACTTAGAGCTGGGGCAGGAAGGGCTGGCAGGAAGGTGGCTCACACATCACAACAGCTTTCTAAATTGGATCTTTTTATACGTGATCTAACTATAGTCTCTCTACCTGACCCTCTGTCTTCAGGGGAGCCTCAGACCTGCTGGGCCCCAGATCAGGGTGAACAGTGATAGCCTGCTGATCACCCATCTAGTTGTATTCTCTCCACCTCTCAGGATATATCTGCCTGGACATGAGTAGAGTGAGGGATAGGATACCCTCTGTGAGCAGGTATAGAGCCTCACCTGAATCTCCCTGTCTCCTGCTCCAGCTCATTGATCTTCTGCTGTGCATAGTCTCTCACCATTGCAGCCAGTATGATGCACAATTCCTTCTCATTGAGTGAAGCAGAACCCAGGTGGCTGTCCAAAATAGACCTAGAGAGAGGAAGCAAACCCAATACAGGCTCTGAGCCTCTGCCTACTCCATCCTCAGGATAAGCAGCCAGGTTTCCTCATTTCTGCCACTTCCCTTGAGGATGTGGCCACATCTTCAGTCAATGGATAGAACATGAGGCCAGTGTCTTTCTAAAAATGTTACTTGGCCAGGAGTCAGGCTCTTTTCTGATCACGAATTGCTTTGCTGGAACTGGATCATACAGGCTTGTCAAAGCTTATGGTGAGATTTTCAGGAATTTTATGTGCTTTGTGTAAGAGCCATTATTAAAAATTAAATAAAACATAGTTTGAATCAGAAAAATGATTTATTCCAATAAATATAATTGTATAAGGGTGAGAAACTAGATTAATAGATCATATATTAGAATTATTAACAACAAATTCATTGGCAAAGTAGTTAGCTGATTGGATGCAATTTATTTCTCAAATTGTAGTTGAATTAGATAAATAGGTTTCCTATGGATACAAATGTTTGGTAAAAGGCAATGAAAGCGTTCTGTGAGACTCAAAGAGGTATATGAAACTTACAATAAAGAGCATTGTATATCTTATTTCTATTTGTAAATTGTGTACAATACATCTTCATATCGTAAAAACTTATATGTAGGCTTACATACATACAGTTTTTTCCCAAAGAGTGGCTGTTAAACATTCAGCACACCATAATTGAGAGCACAGAATTGTTTGATTTCAAGCACAGTGGGAGGAGATTGTGCTCCTGGCAGGGCTGTCTTACCTGAATGGTGCTGCCTGGAGGACACCTGCCTGGTACAGGACCAAGAAGCCAAGAGCCAGAAAGGGAGAATACTTCCAGAAGCTCATGATTTCGATCTGCAAGGAAAAAATTACATCGCCCGTCCAGCGGTAACACATCCTAGGTCTCCGTTGAGGACAGCCTTGGAGCACCCTGTCACAACAGCGTTTTCCTATAACGCAACTCATAGCGTGGGCTTTTTTTTTGCTCATACCTAG